GAAGGAAACGCGCTCATTCGGGACTCTCAACACGGCTTTAGGAGGCGTCGAAATTGTCTCACCAATTTGCTCGAATTCTACGACTGGGCGACGGAAGAGAGGGATAAGGGGAATCCCGTGGACATCGTCTATTTAGATTTCGCGAAAGCTTTCGATACTGTTCCTCACAAGAGGTTGCGGGTTAAACTGGAGGCGCACGGGATCCAGGGTAGGACGAGCGAGTGGATCAGTAGCTGGTTGGTAGGACGAGAGCAACGGGTGATGATAAATGGGGAAGCGTCGAAGGAGGTCGGAGTCGCAAGCGGTGTCCCTCAAGGCGAGGTCCTTGGACCGCTTCTGTTTTTGATCTACATAAACGATTTGGATCTCGGCGTAGAGGGTAAGTTTGTTATTTGACTATCCTTGTTGCTTACTGTCTAGTACCTAACGTCAACATTGCCCCCCACCTTTTTGCCTGTCCATGAAAGCATCCAGTTTCTTCTTAAAGATAGTCACAGAAGGGGCAGCCACTACGTCATCTAACGCATTCCACGCGTTCACCACTCTGCAAGTAAAGAATTCCTGTCTCGACCTGAGCCGCACCTGCGGTTTGCGCAACTTAAATTGGTTACCTCTCGTTCTCTTGCTGCCATCAAACTGGAAACACCTACCACACTCGACATTATCTATTTCTTTAATTATCTTGAAAGCCTGGATGAGATCGCCCTTCCTTAACCTTCGTTCGAGCGAGTACAGTCCCAGCACTTCTAAACGCTTCTCGTATGAAAGTCTCCTGACCTCCTTAATCATTCTTGTAGCCCTCCTCTGTACTCCCTCGAGCGCCAACAAATCGCCCTTATTTGTAGGCCTCCGAAACTGGGTGCAATATTCCAACTGGGGTCTTATCAGCGCCGCATACAACGGAAGAATAACGCGAGATATCCTACTTGCAACCGACCGACGAATGTAACCTAGATTCCTGTTGCATTTGGCCACCGTCGCTTGCGCGTGCGAGGAAAACTTGAGGTCCTCATCGCTAAAAACTCCTAAATCTCTCTCTCCGTTTGCCTCATCCAATTTAACATCGCCGAATGTGTCGAGAGACCTACCGTTGTTTCGACCGACGTGGAGAACTTTACACTTACTTTTATTAAACCTCATGAGCCATTTCTTGCTCCACTCGCCCAAAAGACTTAAATCGCGCTCGGCTCTAGCCCTATCCGCCTCCCCCCTTATAGTAAAACCTATCTTGGTGTCGTCACGTGATATCGAAATGGGTGAAATCGCCTCTTGATATCACTAACTATCGTGAATCTTGATCTCTTTGTAAGCCTATGCGCAAAAGAATCTTTCACCATGACCGAGAAGCTGACTTCCCTGCGTCATGAGGTGCACCGATAGGCCTCACTACATTTTTTTCATAACCCCCAGTAAGGGCAAATGTAATTGAAGGAAGATCAGCCCTCGAACATAGTTCACTTTCCTGGGCCACGGCCTCATAAAACCTCTGCAGCATTGAGGTGTACTGGTGAAGCCCGAGGCGCAACAAAGGAAAAGAGGTGGGGCGCACCGGTGTGCCCCATGGCGCAGGAAAAGGGACTCAGTGAGGCGCACCGGT